ACACCTTTATACTCATATTAGTCATCTAACTGCTACACCCCCTACAATCTTGTACGTGTTCACACTCTTGTCCATAATACAGGTGCCCATTAATGGTCAGTTTCAAACTGTCTTTGTTAACCTGAAGATGACTTAAGAAGGTCGAAACATTGTTCTTGTACTTTATTTTAATTAAAGTTTTTAATACCCATACCAGCCATCTCTGCTATACATTTTTACTTCAAGTGGGTTTATTGTCATAATTAATTTTACAACATTAAGTACCCTCCCACCTGAGAGCCATAACAACCGTCAAGCATTGGTAGTTACCTCATCCACTAGGTTCAGAGTGTTGTACCACAAGTATCCAGAGCAAGGTTCCAGGACAGAATAGGCAGGAAAGAAGATACCTTAGCCAAACTTGCAGAATATCTGGAAAGACTTGCCCATATATCTTATCTAGATGCTCCTCAAGAAATGATGTATTTATTTGCACATGACCTATTTACAAATGCCAAAACATACAAGGATATAAGAATTAGGCTGAAGCAAAGAAAGTGTACAATCTTAAATCTTAAAAGTAGGCTTGTAGTTGGCAGTGTAGCCAAGATCCATAACGTCTGGAGATAAACAATTGAAGTCATCATCTGAAAGTTATATGATCATCATATCAAGTAGTGTTGAAACAACTCCACCTGGAGATAGTTTAGAACTAAAAGTATTAGTTAGCAGAGCTATGTGTAGCACCACTATAAATACAGCATGCTACGTAATGCAACTATCTTTCTAGGACTAGAAAAGACTAGTTGGTTGATGCTACATTTGAAAACTCATAATGATTGCACGTAACAGTTTTATTCGCTACATTTTTAATAGAAGAAATATATATATATATATTATAATCAGGGCAGCAAAGGAGAGGAGCACATCCAAGTGGGAGAGAATGTGGTAGAAAAGTGATCCTAACCAGAGAAAGATATAGTAACTCAATCCCATAATACAAAAATTGGGTAAACGACGCTATGTCCCATGGTGTGGAGTGGCTAGAGTGTAGCAGACACTACTCTGTAACACAACTACATTCAAAACCTCCTCACAAGGTATTGACATCCACGAGAGGATACGACGAGGATCATATTGTCTTCACCTCAAACCCAAGAACTGGGAAATTGAAAACCACTCCAATTCCTTGGAATTACCTAGGATTAGCTCTGAGCTATTGATCCAGGAATTTGACATCTGGTATTAAAAGGAGATCTATTGCATGCAATCAACTCCTCTGACAATCCAAAGGGCAATAACCATAATAAGAGAGAATGGGGGAGTACCAAGGATAGAACTGGAACAATCCCACGTATCTCTGCTGTGACCCACAACACAGAATGAGGAAATAGAAGGAAGAAGATAGACAACCCGAAACCTAATGTGACGACTTATGTTGATTGGGTCACTCAAAATCCAAAACCAGCCAGTGGGGTACTGATATCCACATGAGGGTAGGATGAGGGCTCCCAATTGAAGGGGTGAACTGCATTTTGATATCTCACTCTGTGGTATGGTTAATGGCAAAAAGGAGGATATTACTTCATATACACCAACAGAACACCACCGCCCTACTCTGAACTGAATGGTTATAACCATCTTATGTAGAACCCATCCAGTAGAGTGCCTCCATGGCCTACCACCCCAGTGGCTTGGAACTGTAAATGGTAAAAACTCCCATACTCCACTAGAAAGGGGCTGAGAATGTATTGGAGAGCCCAGAGGAACGTCATCACCCAAAACAGTGCAATGGGTGATCACAAAACACTATTTTGAAAAGGAGAACATAACAATTTATTCAATCGAGGCATGGCAGGTACAGTCCAGGACGGGCCAATTTATGAAGCAAATATCACGATGTTATTCACTTACAAGAGATCTTTTGAAACACTCCATTTCAAAGGTGATGTGAAGCCATGGAAAGGAAAGCACTAGTCAACATGGCATACATTGCAGATTTAGATTAAAAGAATACCTGGTCAGGCACCACTTGCCACAGAGTGGGATCCATGTAATGAAAGTATGAAGGATGAGTCCCTGAAAGGAAAGAAAGCATTAATAAAGATATACCCAGTGTCAGAGTCGCACCAAAGTCTGAAGTATAGTTACAGGTAGAAGATGAAAACCTGAGGAAGTCGAAACCTTGATGTGATGTAAATTGTAAATAATGGGAGATGAACATGTTATAGTTGGTCCACATGCCCAATTGTAGGATTTCCTCCAAAGACAAACAAAAATGAGAAATGAGGGAAAAGGTGAGGTGTTGGATTTGATGAGGGGTAACAGAACAAAGTACAGTGAGAAGGGGACAAGGAGGAATAAACCAACTGGATGAAACTACAGACTCAATTGGTGAGGGTAAAAGGGGAGAGATCTCTGGATGAAGAGGGTTGCCATGGAATAATGAGATTGGAACAAAAACCATGGAATAAAACTATGCGGGCAATATAACACTGAAGAGCATGCACAGGGCATGGAAGTCTATCTGGATCAGGACAGGGGTACAGATGAGAAATAGAGGGAAGGAAAATAGGCAAACAGAAGGAGTTACCCTCACAAATCTCTGAGGTTTGACGAAGAAAGGAATGATCTGGATAAATGAGATGATAGGTATGGTGGTAAAGTGTGTGTGTAAAGTCGATGGCGAACAAGTCAGACCGCTGACACCCACGGGCCAAAAGGAGAAGGAAATATGCCTTAAGGGACGGGTGAAATAATGAACACAAGGAAATAGGTTCGAACGGAGGTAAAGTAATGGAGTGGAGGACCACATTAATATCCCAATCTGGAAGAGTAGGTCTCCAAATCTGGAAGGAATGGATTAACATGGTAAGGACGAGTGAGAGAAAAATCCTGCAGTAATGGAGAAGATGAAAGGTATTGGATAAAGCTGCCCAATAACCTGAAATTGAGGAGATGAAGACTCCTGGTTGAAAAGTAACATATACAACTGAAAAACACCAGCAACAGTAGGATGAGCAGCAGGAAATCCTGGAGCCTGAGACCACCTGTGAAAGACCTTCCACTTTTGCTGATACACTTCCATGGAGGAAGGATGGATGGATTAAGCCAAATGAGAAGCTACACAATGAAAGAAACCAGATCTCCTAGCTAAGGACAAGACAAGAGCCAGGTGTGAAGACGGAAGACGTGAGGTGCAGGTTGCAGAACCAGAGACTGGGATTGATGAAGGAGGTTGGGTAATAAGGGAAGTAGTACAGGAGGGAATAATTGTAGTTGGAGTAAATGAGGAAATCATGGTTGAGCCGACCAGTAGGGAGCGATCAGAAGGGCCTGGCAAGGAGTGGCATGGGAAAAGAAAACTATCCAATGAAGAAATCAAATAAGGGGATAAACATATAGAAATTTGTGTGACCAATCCTGGCTGAAGTAATCTATAGCCAAAGCCTGAGGATAAGGTAACAGGGACCAAAAGAGGGGCAACTGATGATTGAGGCTGGGGATAAAGCCACTAGAAAATGAGAGGATGAAGGGACCACAATTAAACGAATGTTTTGTGTGTGAGCCCAATATAAGAGATCCACTGTGTGCTGCTTGGTTATTGATATAAGCCACCACCATTGAATTGTCGGAATTGATCATTACTAGACAATGTGTGGCAATGGGAAGAAAGTGATCCAAAGCCCGATGAATGGCTAGGAGCTCTATGACGTTGATATGTAAAGACTGTTCATTGATAGACCAACTATCTGAAGCCTTCTTGTGAATGACCCACGCACTATAGCCCTGAAGGGATTTGTCCATAAACAGATGGAAATACAAGGCATACTAGCACCATCGCCCAACTGGGAGGCGAACTGTTCAGCATGAACCCGAATGTCGGTGGATGGGGAAAAGGCAAACAGGGTGGGGAAGTATATTCAAGCAGTAATGAAGGACATGGGTCATAAGATACAGGAGCATGGGATAATACATCACATAACTGAAAAATAAAGTCCAAAAAAACGTAAAAGGCCGAACAGAATTCTCAGGAAGGGTATGGGAAGGCACGGCAAATTCAGGAGGAAGTGGGGCCATGTCTGGAGATAAACATTGACCCATATAATGTTCAATCTCCCTGCAAATAAAAGTAGACAAATCTCCCAATGGGTCGCCAGCACCTGAAGCTTGTTATAAAGTGCCTGTCAAATGTGAGACACCTGAAGTGGTGACATTTAATTTCAGAATTCATGTTGTGTCAGTTGACAAAAACGTTTGAAGTAAGGAATACCTGTGACAAGAATAAGGGTAACTGAAACTGAATGGTTTAAAAAAATTGTTCAATTAAACCACTTCGAGAACTAATTCAATCTCAAACACTAATCAAGAATAAAAAAGAAAGACATCCGAGTGCAAGTGATGCCAAACGAGAAGTGACAGTTTGGTAGATGCGCATAGAGAGAGTGACATGCGTCAAGTCAGCGTACTATGTTCCTACTGGTAGAGAAGTGATGCATAATTATTTGCATGTTAGAATCATTTGATTCACAGAAGACTTGTGACATGCGTAACAAAAAAGTTTGTATATAGAGGACAGCAATGAACAAGAATAACTCATCTTGTGAGAGGTGGGAAGTTCTATATCGGAAGTTTCCAATTCACTGCATCCTGCCTGCTCTACCAAAACTATCTTTTAAAGAATAATTTAGACATTCTTTGTTGAGTGTAAGAGGAACAATAAGTTAATCAGAAAATTAAATTTGTGACGAATATTTGTTGACTGTAAGTTGGACAATCACTTACATAAAAAAACAGAACTTTCAGCAAACCTTCTCTGCTGATTGTAAGAGGAAGGATTAGTTGAGAGTTTAAGCACATATTCTTGACTAACTGTAAATGGGATCATCAGTTAAACAGAAGTTTTAACAGATTTTTTCTGCTGATTGTAAAAGTTTTATCAGTTTTGTCCTCATTTCTTGGATATAAATGAGGTCAGGTACTACATACAATAAGACAAAATGTACAAAATTTAAACTGACCTTCTTTGGTGGGCTGTAAGTGGGATCTTTATCTTCTGTGTCACTTAATCGTGTTGCATGTTTTTCTTGATGTTGAGGCTTTCTTCCCAAAACCAAACCCTATTAATCAATTTAATCATAAATTATTTGTAAAAACTTTCATTATTAAAAAACTTAAACCACTTTTAGTTTTAGAAAAGTACAACTTCCTTCTGCTTAAATGTCAAAATGTTTCACAAAATTCATTTTAATGTACTAGAAAATAATGTGACTTGCTACTAATAAACAAGTCAGTAATGCAATAAGTAACTTTGAAGTTTCCTGATTAATTATTCAGTAACAAGATATGTGAATTAAACATCTCCTGATTAAGTATTCAGTAATAAGACATGTGGATTATAAGTCTTCTGATTAAATATTCAGTTCCATTTTAATTTAATTCAAAACAAAACTACTGCTTAAAGGTCAAATCAGTGGTTACCAAAACTATAGGAGAAAAATTGTTATAGCTTGTAATAACTGTCATATGAAGTTGTTGGTTGTCAGAAAATCATAAAACAGATTTCACATGTACAAGAATTGGTTGAACTTCATTACATTGTAAATAAAGATGTCAAACTATTCAGTTGCTACTGTGCAGCTGGGCTACAAATAGTTGTTACAAAGTCAACAAGAAACACATAGTATGAAACGTACTGCAAAAACTTTCATGCGTTAAGGCTCATCAAAGCTAGTTAAAATATTTTACTACTGAGAATGTACCATGTTTTTTAAAACTCATAATATACATGGACTGTTTTCTAAGTTAAATACTTGTTCTTTAACTACACTTTTTTAGTTCTCTTTCATAAAATTTTCTGTCACTTGAAGTCAATATAATTTGTCCATCTCCCAGTGTTCACAAGTCTAGAAAAATTAACCATTACTGTTTATCAAAAAGAGACTCAAACAAACAAGTATTTATATTTTCAATCACGCTATAGAATTTCTGTGTAAACTAGGTTTATTATTGAAAGTCTAGAGCTATGTTTTCCTACCTAAACTTAAAATTTTGAAAATATTTTCAAGAATAACAGTAAAAAATAATACAGTGTATACTTTATGGTGAACCTGTCTTAACTACTACTGAGATATAACCTGACAGTCATAATGGAAATAAATATTTTTTACTTATATACCAAGCCTTAGGGACAAAACTTTCATTAATTAAACATCATGATAAGTTCTCAAAGTGGTTTGTAGCACTCAACACGAGTGTCTTCGAAACACGGAGGACAATACTACCTATTACAGGTGAGACTCAAATAACATCAAACAATACATTAAAACCTGTACTACAAACATATTGCCTTGAGCTCTTCATGTTCAGGAAAACAACCATATCTATGCATACAGGATTTCTACAAAATGCATAAAAGTATACATAATTTAGCGGAGTATTATTTCTTGTGATTTTTTACATACCATGTGTACTTTTATAGAAAATGAAAAGAGTCTTACAGATAAGGTTATAGGTAAGTGAGGGTCCCTTTCCAATGAGAAGAGCATGCTTAACAGGATTGGACTTCATACGAATTAAAGGAATAAACCATCTGATGTAGCAACAGTATAAACAATACTTTTTCAAATACACGTGTATTGATTTTCATATCCGTGGGTATGATTCTGGCATAATACATATATAAGCCATACAAACTAAATGCTTTCTTAAACTGTTGGTCATTATTTTTTCAATATTTACATAGCGATAAATACAAGACCTATATATATATATATATATATATGTATATATATATATTAGTTTCATGTTTCAGCCATTGTGCTTTTACTTCAATGGTGTTACTTACATGAACAGTGTTTGTAATTAAACATACTATCACCTTTTAATAAATGTCAAGCTTTGTATTCTATAAATTATACACATTAAATATATTCAGATCTAGTTTAAATTACACACATATTTGATGAAGTGGGTGTGTCAGAGTTGCATCATAATGGACCATATTATTGTTAGAGAATGCTTCATGCTGTACTGGTTTGGGACTACAGGCTGGCATGTACCATACAAGGTGGTAATTTAAAATGCTGGTAAGGAAGTCTGCAAAAGGGAAGGTTTCATGTAGGCCTTGGAGGGTACTATGAAGGGAAGTTGATATAAATATGTGATGTGAATTTGTTGGGGTAGACTAGTCTTTGGGAGACCAGGAACACCTCTACTCTATACTTTGTTTGTTATTAGATGCATTCAATCAGTTACTAGAAGTTTTTCTATATCCTGGATAGCAGAAGTAATTAAACTTAATGTTGCTAACATAATTTTATAGGTAACTATAGAATATGTGTTGCCGTGATTAAAACTAAAGTATTAAAGTAAAAATATCAACAGTAGTCGTCATGTTTTAACATAATAATACAAACCCTTAGGTGATAACAGGTATTAATTTATAAAAGAGACAATCACACAACTTCAAATTGTGCCAAATGACACCAACTCCAATGGTTCCAAAATTTCTTGTGACTGAAGCCACTGTAAAAATGTTCAGTCATTTCTTCTCAAATTTGTACTTAGATCTATATGTACTAAAATGCTTAGCTATGCTTGAGAAGGTTTGTATCATACCTAGTTCACAATTACCACAACCCTTATGCCTTAAAACAGCAAAGTTCAACAAGTTCCTTTTCACATACAGAAATCTATACATTATTCACCCCTTCTTTCATTTGATATCAAACATAACGAAATAAAAATGTAAAAAAGGTAACCAGATTCTTTACTACTAAAACTTAGATAAAAACACTGTAGATCTATGTTTACAAGTGAACAACTGTAGATAAAAACACTGTTGATCTATGTTTACAAGTGAACAACTGTAGATAAAAACACTGTAGATCTATGTTTACAAGTTAACAACTGTAGATAAAA